CAATAAAAAAATATTAAAACTTAATACATATAACTTATTAAAACAACTACAAAATTTCATCACTGTGGATTTCATTAAGATGTTTCTTAAAGTTTAAAAATAATAATATTGGTAACAAAACTAAACAATTTTGTTAGAATGTCATCTTTAAGACATTTAAACATGCCGGTGGAGAACAGTTCAGATGTTTACACACCATAGTTTGGTTCGAGGACCTAACGAGCCGCTTGTCAAACTCCGCTTCATTTTCGCGACCACGTAGGAGCGCAAATCTTTGCAAACAAAAGTCACCATGGTCTCTGTTATCTTTAAGTTGTGCGGAGAGTCGGCTCGTGACGTGACGTGATTCCTTAGTTTCTTTTGTTTTGATCCAGACAACTTGTTATCGAAAGCTAATGTTAGCACTGAACATCAACTGGATGTAAATATACTGCAAGCCAGGAGTGACAAAATATAGAAACGCGCCTCAGACGCACGTACAAGACTCCATGGGGAAGAATCGATTTCATGTCCTGTGAATCGATTTTCCCAGATTTAAATGAAATCAATCCAAGATCGATAAAATCAACTTTTTTTACCCAGCCCTAGGTTTGTATATTTTTTTACAATAAGATGTTGATTTGAGGATTTTTAGCTTGTATGTGCACAAAAAGATGTACTATTATTTGTCTCATTTTCTTAGGTTTATTTCAATTCAGTCCAATCGATACCTGAATTTTGAATATCGACTGATACAGATACTATTCTGATACCTAAGCTCTGTTTGTTTTAATTTATTATTATGGATTTCCATTCCAAATTTTGCAGCCAGCTTTGAATCCCTTCTAGAGTAATTTTAGCAGACAAAATTATAACACGGACACAGCTCATAAATAGTAAATCTCTCGTAGTTGAATCAGAAAATCCCGATCCATTAATTATTTTGGTATTGAAACCTGATATCAATACTGGATCGAATTGGCCCCAACACTAATGTGCATACAGTACATTATAAAATGACAATTTGTAGAAAGTATTAAAGCTAAAAATTCTTTAATGTTGTTTTTCTGCTTTTCACTAGTAATTTGTATTTTTCAGATGCCGATGCACAAAATGTGAAGCAATCTTATGTGAAGAATGGCCACACCCTCCCTGTTGGAGTTGGAGGAGGATCGGGAGTCATCAGTTCTAGCAGGAGCCCGTCTAACCAGGCCAAACTCCCCATGGAGTCTGACTTTAGGATGAACCCAGCGAGGCTCATCCAGCCAGAGGAGCGCTGGGGCCACTCGCCTTCAGAAGGAGACCGCCGCGGAGCTCTGAGCTCCAGGAGCGCTGGACTTCATGAGGAAGGGCGGAGAAGTGGAGGGATGGGGCCACGCGCACATGGGGATGGGGAGTGGAAGWCTAACCTAGCCTGGCAGGGTCAGATCCATAGTCAGGTGGAGGAGGGCCGGCGTGGGGGCAGGCTTCACCCGGAGAACGGGCAGAGGAGGCCCGGGCTGCAGAAGGCACCGTCAGAAGATGGCAGGAGGAGTCGGCCTGCAGAAGCAGATTGGAAACCTACTCTCCCTCGCCACGCTTCTGCAGAGGAGGGGCGGGCCCGCAGAGGTGAGTCTCTTTTTGTCTCAAACACTTCAAGAAAACAACTAAACGGTGGTTGCCAGACTTTTGTTTTCGTGCACACCTTTCACAAGCTGCATTTCCATTGAGCATGAAAATGAGCAAATTAGAATTCCGAAAATAAATTTTCTCAATGGAAACATGTCAATTTATAAAAAACTTTTTTGTGTTTTGTGTGAGTGAGGTAGGTTTTCGGCCGTATCGAAATTTATGTATTTCGCAAAACTGCAACGGAAACACTGTTTTTACATCACGGGAGTCACGTGATCAACAACCGGCTGTTTCTACTGGCGAAAAAGACGACGAAGAAGACAACAGGAAGTAGAAGTAGTAGTAAAATCACCGAAGTTGTAAAAGAAAGTAGTAAACTCACCAACTACATTTTCCCAAAAACGCAGCATACGTAGCCTCTCCCAAGAATAAGGGGCCTGTTGCTCGAAAGCCTTGATAAGACGCAGACGTCTCCTCTGATGGCTGATAAGCGCTAGTGCCACGGTAGCAACATGCTACGTGTTTACATCCATTGCCGCCATGTTTGTAATGACTTTTCGCAAGAACAAACGTATTCACGCGTGACTTTAATAGCATTTCTTACTTAATGGAAACACCGCAATTGCGAAACTGTGTTTTTTCGACAATAACAGAATATCGACAAAGTTTTACGCACATTTGCAATGGAAACGCAGCTACAGTCCATGATACACACTGCGCAGATCTCCTGAGAAACACTTCCAACTGCTATACACGTCACAGCATGAGGTTTTCCTGCTTGGAGATTCCACTCCGATATCCGCCATTTGGCCACAAATTTATCCCAGTAGAGCACCACAGTTTTTGGCAGACGGATTCCTCTGTGCACAATGTCAGTGCTCTCTTTATCTATGAGTTTTTGGCCATATGACTATCTCTAAAAGTATCTGGAACAGTCATATAGATAGACATACTTTCTGACTGCCTCGGACAACTGCTCCTCAAAATTATTCATGTTGTTTGGATGCAAAACAGCCAGCAATTAATCATCAGAAAAGCTACCAACAATGAATATTTGCCACTTTGCAGTTACTGTGTTTATTGCCGCTTGATGATGACGTATTTTGTGTATGATGCATTTTTATTATCTATTGTACATGTGAGCACAGTGGCGGGTGGCGACGTGAAGCAACTAACTCTAAATTTTACACAGCTGATTTTCCTCCAGCACATGGTGGTAACAGATCTAGTCGGCTGAGTATCTACAGTGCAGTCAGTCAGTTGGTCCTTTACGAGCGGCAAAGTCAGCGCTGTGAAGCGATAACACAGGGCTGGCTGTGGCTGTTCAAATGAAGACGTTAGTTTGACTGATGACTTGAAAGTATAATTTCAGGACACATCTAAATGACCAATTAACCTGACAGTCATGTTTTTAGTCTGTGGGGGGAAGCTGGAGTACCCGGAGGAAACCCATGCATGCATGGAGAGAACATGCAAACTCTACCCAGAGAAGTAGAGTTTGATTTGAGTTTGATTTGAGCTCTACCAACTGAGCCACTGTTCCGCCATTTTATTGGCTAAATGTCACAATTAATTGTGATTCATTTTTATTGCCTAACCCTAATTGAAACAAAATTCCACCATGGTCTGAACACTTTTATGGATAAACAAACATGCCCACAAACTTCTGACCAATCATACTTTGTGCATTGACCTGTGAAAATAAGTTCAGCCCGGGCCTATGGCGTGAAGGGGCGAGTGATCAGCTTTACAAACAAAATGACGCCGTTTTTTTTTTTTACTTCAACTGTGACAATAATAGCCGATCTCACAGCTTTGGATGGCATATGCGGTCACAATATTTATTAGCCCTCCTGTCAAAATGACCCATGAGGTCTAGGTTTTAACACTAGCCGTGTTTCCATCCAATTTTAATTCAAATTTTGAGCGAATTTTTAAAATTTTGCAAAAAAGGAAAAAACGAAGAAATGCGAATCAGACGTGTTTCCATCAACTGCCTTGAAGCGAATCAATTACATCAGACGTATGCGTGCAGTAAACAGGAAGTAAAAGTCACATCTCAGGAAAATGGAGAGACGTTATCAGGAACYTGTTGCTATTATCGGGAAAGTTGTAATTATTCTGTCATTTCAACTGGTTCAGGCGATTTTGCATGCTCTGCAGACYTAGAGAAAGAAATGCAATTCTCTTCACATTATGGGAATAACGGAGAATACGCTGACAGTGGGAGGAGGGTCCAGCTGCAGTTGCTCTGGTACCGGTACCGGTTTCGGACAGACAGCGAGAGCAGCTGATCAACCATGGGAGGTAAATGTTCCTTACATCAGAACTGATTTGGCAAATGTGTTTCCATCTTTCCTTTTGCACATTAACTCTTTTTCGAAAAAAACAAAAACAACCTCAAGCGAACGTATCAACTTTTATGCGAATTACAGGAAGTTTTTTCGAATCATGCCGTTTCCATTCACCTTTTCTGATGCGATACTTCATGATAGACTTGCGACCTGTCCAGGGTGTTCCCCGCCCCTCGCACTGTGACTGCTGGATATGGGCACCAGTGACCCCCGTGACCCTGAAAGGAATTCTGGATGGATGGATGCTTCAAAATGTGCATTAAAAAACGATGGAAACACGGCTYCTGAGCCCATCGTGGGTCATTTCAGCCCAAACGCAGCAGGATAGCATGTTGATCCTTCAGCTCTTGTATTTTCTCCCTCCGTCGTGCTGTCACTTCTCCGCTCATGTGCCGTCCTCCCCGATATAGACAGTCTCCTGTCAGCTCTCAGGAGGCTTGCTCCAGCTCTGCTTCTTATTCAGGAACATGAGGGAACAGATTGTCCTCTCTCTTCTCCTCTCCTAATTAATGTGTCGCCATCACTACACCCATTATCACTCTTTAACACTCACACTGTCAGCTCGGTGATAACTCTGAAAGGCAGAGCGATCGATGTAAAAACAATGGAAACTGAGAACCGCTTGCACCGTTTTGAATCTCATTTGTCTTTTTATCGCTCACTTACAGTATCTTCTGGCACTTGAACTTTAATCTGTGCTTGCGTGGGAAAAATGTGTGATTGGAATAAGAATAAATTTCACCGATGACAGTAATGAGAAGTGTGTAGATTATATACTCCAATGAAGTAGCAAAATAACTAGGAAAAGAGAGATAGTGTGAATATAAGGAGATCTTTTCTGTTTTTCTTCATCTCAGTTTCTGGTTTCCTTTCTTCAGTGCCTGACACCTCCTTCCTTATCTTATTCATCCTTTTTATCTTTTCTGCACCTCCTGCCTTCTGCCCTTTTCTTTATTTCTCCCCTCTCTGTGTTTTTCTTACCAACTTCCTGCATTATCCTGGATAATTTTCTCATTGGTTGGATGACGTAAAGGTGATAAAAGTTCATCTGTAAATAAACAACTCGGCTCTTCAGAGCTGCCGGTTTGAGGAATGGCGTGGGAGCGGTAGCAGCAGTGTGGGGGCCGCTGCTGCCGCTGCTCGGGGGGAGGAGCAGAGTAGGGTGGGTTGAGGGAGGTGGGTTTTTCTGTGGTAATTGCAGCCTCCTACACTGTTTACCTTCACAGCTGATCCCAAGATAATGCAATTCTCAAACAAGAGCTACCGCTGAGATCTCATGGGGAGGTGCTGCAGCAGAACGCCTCAGTCCATCTCCAGGCTGAAAAATTTACTGCAAAACAGACAAATATATTTTATATATATTTATATAAATATGTATAAATCTCCACCAGGGAGAACACATTAAATACGTCGGGCAACGTTCCAAGTTATTTGTTTCAACTTTCCGTGTTTATAACTTTTGAACCATAAGAGATATCGCACATCTGATTGTGACAATTAATTTCTGAGAAAATTCCCAGTGGGTAAAATTTTAATTGAATCCATTATAGGGCTGCCACGATTAGTCAATTAATCGACGACTAATCAATTATTAAAATAATCGATGACTAATTTAATAATCGATAAATCGTTTTTTTTATTTTTGTTCTTTTCTTTGTTTTTCTCTCCAAACTGCTTTGACACCTTCCACTGCCACATCTYCRTTTRTGRCCTTGACACACATGCACAGTAGTGGTAACTGGGGTAGGCCGTGGACGTCACAAGACATTATACAGACAGGCTCTGGTATCATGGCTACCTGACAACNCACATGCACAGTAGTGGTAACTGGGGTAGGCCGTGGACGTCACAAGACATTATACAGACAGGCTCTGGTATCATGGCTACCTGACAACAGAGCTCAAAATTGTGGGATCTTTTTAAGAAAATGAAAGAGAAACCTGTGTAATATCTGCAGAGCAGAACTTGCCTTCCACAGAAATTATTTTTAGTTAACATATAGCTAAAATGTAATGATGGTTATATAATAGCAGCTGCATGCGCGATAAGCTGTATGTTTGATATTCAATTAACGTATGATCCGATTAGTCGACTAATTGAAAAAATAATCGGTGATTAATCGATTATAAAAATAATCATTTGTGGCAGCTTTAATCCATTATGGTGGCTTTCAATATGGTGGCCATGTTACGGACATAGCCTAAAACAGGGCTATTCAGCTAAATTGCTTCGGGGGCCACAGTTACCTGACACCAGAGTTCACTCCTCTACACTAAGGAGTTGAAAAGAGGGAGAAACGAAAACAACAAGCAAGAAAATGAAAATTATGGACCTAATTTTAATTTATCCTGCGATTAACTGATGTATTACTTACCGCAACAGGCGTAGTCACTAGACTTAGTTTTGCCATCATAGCACATTTCTACAGTTTTGTTGTTTTGTTTTTGTTCACAGAGTCAGACAGCCATTTTGTCCCTGACCCGGACGCCCTGCAGGACAGCTTACGTGAGCCTCTGCCTCCCAAACAGACGGTCCTGCCTCCAAAGTGGCTGATGAGCTCCAGCGCCGAAACTGGCAGCAACGGCCCACCTCGGACGCCTTCCAACCACCCCGTCGCCGCCCAGTATTCCTCCGCCTCGGCCGCCACGTCCAAACCCGTTCGGTCCGTTTCCTCTGCGGGCACCAGCACTCAGCAGACACCCACCTCTCAGGTCACCAAGCAGCCCCCTCTGCCTCCACCCAAGCCTGTGAACAGGAACAACGCAGCCATGCTGGGTAAGTGACACAGGAAATTAACTGTCAAAAATGAGCCCTTATTAGAAAAGTGAACCATTAATGGTAAAGGAAAGCAGAAGAACCACCACACACATATTCAGACATCCAGGTAATGACGTTATAAGAACAGCTGGAGTTGCTTTTCCCCAGCTACTTATTTAATATGCCTGGACTCCTTTAGCGTCAACATTCCCAACGTTTTACACTCTGAAGATAACGAGGACTCTTGTGGCTGTGTATCCGTACGCTGTAGTTGTTGTTTACGGCGGATATGCCTCATCTGGGATCTTGCTTGTATTCCCTTTTGGCCGAAGCTTTCTGTTTTGACTCATTTTCTTTTTTATCTTAACAGCACATCTGGGGATTTGGCATCTTGATAAAAAAAAGTGTGCACCACGTGTCCCACATGATGTTTCTGACACATTACTATTTGCAAAGTTAAAGTGAAAAGCTGTTCGTGTTTGTAATGAGCTGGTTGGTGTCGTGTGAAGAAGGCAGAAGTTTTAACGTTGAAGTATTTTGTGAATATGCGTTTCAAATGAACCACAGTACCTCCTCGTAGCTCTGTTTGTCAGACACTCCATCTGAAGGCCTCCGTCTCCTCCCTGTTAGTGTCCGCCCTGCAGGGGGGAGAAAACGCACAGCTTCCCCTCTACTGGTCCTGCTGGAAGCGAGAGTGCGACTATGATGTCTACCTGTCCCTGCCTGTGTATCTGTGCCGGCGGGCCGGAGGCCTGCGCTCAGGTAATGGGATGTTCTTTGATGCCAGGATGCCAGTATCTGGAATGCCCCCCTCCCCCATCCCCCACTTCAGAGTCTGCATTCTTCATCATGTCATGTCCTTTCCAGCTGCCAACATGTTTCCTCCTTACTGCCTTCAACTTGTCGATTGGCCCTATACGCTTCCTTCTGGACGTGCTGAATAAGAGCCGCATGCATTTAATGAGCTGATAGTCGGTGTTGCTTTGTGTGAAAGCGAGGGGAACTTGTGTGTGAGTGCAGTTGGCTGTTTTTAAATGCTAAACGTGTGAATGAGGAAGAAGCCTTTAGCACCTGTCAGCTACAAAAGATCAGTTTTTATAACACTGATCTATTCAGCTTATAATCAGAATGAATGCATATGAAGAAAGAAATGTAAAAGTGGGATAATAGAGTGTGAGAATGGCTTGTCTTCATGGGGTAGCTCAGATCTTTTAAAGTGAGGTTTTGTGGAGAGATGCTACAAGCAATTCATATTTACCTGTTTCAGCTCCTTGAACGACTTCCATTTGGAGAATTAGTTATTGGCGAGCTAATCGCTAGCTCTAACGAGGCCAAGCTCAAAGTGGATTGCTGCTGTCTTAAAATAGCTCCAATCTAAAAAAAAATCATGGCAGTTTGTGCGAAAGCTATTTTATAAACTTTAACACCTGTGTGCTTTTTAACTGAAACCTCTACAATTATTTTGTAGTGGGGTTTTTTTTTTTTCAGCTGTTCCTCTCAGTGGGGGGTCTCTACAGCGAACTCACGTGAAACATTTGGAAATTGGCTGGATGACCTTCCCACTTAGCAAAATTTGTGTGGGCCAGCACCACATAAACCCAAACACAACCCAGCCAGTTCTGGCCCACACTAAGTTCTAACACTCTAACACTTGGCCCAGATACTGTGTAGAATGACAGCCCTTTGGTGGCCCAGATGGGGTTTGCCAGCAGTGGTCCATGCATGGGCCAGCACCACATGAACCAAAACACAACCGGGCCTGTTGTGGCAGGCCATTTTAAAAACAGTACCATCATTGCCAAAACTGGCCKACATCCACACCTGTCTGCTATGTGGGTCCTGACACGACCTAAGCTCAAACCTGCAGCCTCGGGATTATAAGATCGTGGCACTGGCCATCCAGCTATCACTGCCCCCCCCCCCCAATTATTTATTTATGTAAAGCCAGTATTTTTATTGCAAAATGACAATTGCAAAACTTAATGGTTACCTTTTGGGACCTGCTGGCAGAACTGTGAATCATGGCCTGAACTCGCGGGCCATCACGTTTTCACTTCCCACCATGGCTATGTTTGTCTTATTTCGACGGAGTCGATGCTTCTCGTTGAGAGCTGATGATCTCTTTAGTATTCCAAGTTGTGCTGAATAGGGTTGGGGTGCAGCCATTGTCAATATCTTTAGGAATGGTTTATGTTTTAAAGCAGTTTTCCAGCTACTATCAACTCTTCTTCTTTGGAGACTTGTGTCATTTCTGGGATGGCTACATATTAAAATGTAGCCGTATGCTTTATTTTGGATTTAGAAAGCTGAAGTAAGAAATAAACAGTCGGTTTTTAATTAGTTCGATTTGGCACATTTACATTTAGGTTTTAAAAAACAAAACAAACAAAAAAACATCACAGTTGGGGTTTTTTTTTCTGCGACTTTGTTTTGAAACGGTATAACCAAAGAACGAACCATACACAGATTGGCTCGCAGCCTTGTTGCGTGTTCAGGATACAGAGTTGTCTGAACCACGTCACAAACCCTCCTCAATTTAGTTTTCATGAATTCTTGAGTGCAGGAGCTGCATTTTGACACTTGTACTGGAGCTATCCTTGTTGCTGAAAACATCTAAGGCTAGAGCTTCGAATGTATCCCTGTTAAACAGTTTTTTTAAAGTGGTCCAGATTTGCCACTCTGTATTTCAAAAGCATACACGAGTTGATTAAAGGCGAGTACAGTGTGGTTGGAGATGAGGAAACTGTCCACACAAAAATAGGCAGTGGTTTTCACGCACGGATTGCTGGTGGCAGACACTCAGAGTTTAGTGAGACTGCTACTGGAAATTTTTAATGTCTGCAGTTTCAGCAAGATTACTTGTAATGTCGGGATTTAACTTTGTAATATAAAATAGTGTTTGTTATGAAACTGTTTTAAGTTGCGAGTTGTTTTAGGACAGCAGGTCAGACCGATCATTAGCTCGTCAGTCCAGTGTAGGGCTGCCACAAACGATTATTTTTTATTATCGATTAATCACCGATTATTTTTTTCGATTAGTCGACTAATCGGATCATATGTTAATTGAATATAAAACATACAGCTTATCATGCCAGAATGCAGCTGCTACAGTATTATATAACCATGGTTAGATTTTAGCTAAATGCTAACTAAAAATAATTGCCGTGGAAGGCAAGTTCTGCTCTGCAGATATTACACAGGTTTCTCTTTCATTTTCTTAAAAWGATCCCACACTTTTGAGCTCCGTTGCTGGGTAGCCATGATACCAGAGCCTGTCTGTATAATGTCTTGTGACATCCACGGCCTACCCCAGTTACCACTACTGTGCATGTGTGTCAAGGACAGAAAGGCAGATGTGGCAGTGGAAGGTGTCAAAGCAGTTTGGAGAGAAAAACAAAGTAATAAACAAAAAAAAAAGAAAATTACTGATTATTAAATAGTCATCGATTATTTTAATAATCGATTAGTCGTCGATTAATCYTTGCAGCCCTAGTCCAGTGAAAGCTAAACTTCAGTTTTTTTCAACCAAAGTTGTTCAGTGAGCTTTCCACAGCAGGTAAGATATTAAATGTTCATAACCATTCCATAGACCCCCACTTTAAAACATCTGAAATGTCACTGTAGGTGCTCGTTAAAAGTAGAAAGTGGTCCAATATGCTTAAGCTGGGAGCTTTTGTCCTAGTTCTTTTCTTTTACTTGTACTTTCCCTTCAATGTAGAGAAAGTCATAATTCATTACAGTGAAGTCAGCTGCATGCTTTAACTCTGTCACCGCTCTTCTCTGTACCACAGCTAACTCTTAGTGAGCAGATATCGAGTATAGACTTGTGCATGCACATAACTGGATAAAAAATCAGCAATAAAGCTTTGAGCTTTAGCATCTCTGCACCACATGAGGCTAATTACATAAGCTTTGATGGATGGTTCAGAATCTGGCTGTGAAGAGCATGTTCGCATCTTCTCCACGACCTGAGGCACATGCTGCACGCTGCTCTCTTCATGCACATATGATCGCGCTCTGGGTGCGTGTGTGTGTGTGTGTGTGTGTGTGTGTGTGTGTGTGTGTGTGTGTGTGTAGCAGTGCTCGGTCAGTCACATAATCCCAGAGTTTGTTCATGTATGCTCATGTCACATAGAGACAAACTGAGAAATAAAGAGCCACTCTCCAGCTGGAGCTGTTCTGCCTCATAAGGAACAACGTGGTTATCGGTTTTGTTTTTGCATTTGCAGGTGAGTTCACACAAGGCTCAGGGGGGGCCAGCCTCCTTCCMGTCAAGCCGTCACCTCCAATGCCCCCTAAGAGGACCACCCCAGTCACAAAACGCAACACAGAGGACTCTGCAGCGAGCCACCCCATGACCCCCTCCCSTCTCTCTGCCGACGACCACGGCAACCTCTCTCTAGGTTTCCAGCTGCCCCCGCCCTCACCCCCGCTGCCCGCTCACATACCACCCTCCCCGCCCCGCCAGCACATACACACCCACCACCTTCACCACCAGCATTCCTACCCGCACCCGCTGCCCCAGCCCATACCCATGTTGTTCGACCCGCCAAGCCCCACCGTCGAATCCCCCCAACGCCCTGCCCCCATCCCACTGCACATCATGATCCAGAGAGCCCTGTCCAGTCCCGGTCCGGCTCAGCCGCATCCAGACGGGTCGCAGCGAGCGCACGCGCTGCTTTTCGAGACCCCCCCGGAGTACCAAGGAGATCGGGGTCGGCCTCTGCCTGTCAGCATCCAGCCTTTAAAACTGTGAGTTCATCATTAAAAACATCTTAAAAATGAAACAATCTTCAGAGGAATGTATATCTCCTGCGTCATGCAGGGTTAGAAACCAACAGAGGTGGGCACAGCAAACCAAAAAGTTAGCTTTGCTAACTCATTTTTCCGCTAACTAAAAATATAGCTTCACTTACGCTTAGTTGCTAAATGTAAAAAATATATATATATTAGTGGAAGCTAATCTAAACACCAAATTTTAGCTCAGTAGCTGTGGAACTGATAAAGGCTCAGTGTTGTATAAAGTACCACAAAGTGATACTTGAGTAAAAGTACAAGTATCTTACAAAAAATGACTTTAGTAAAAGTTAAAGTCTCCTTTAGGAATATTACTTGAGTAAAAGTCTTAAAATATCTGATAGAAAATATAACGGCTCATTTTAAATCAATACTTTTACTTTTAATAAAGTACAAAAAATAAGGACATTTATTAAGAGGTGATCTTCCCAAAAAAATACAGAAATGACAATATTGTATTAAAATAACTAATTTATATTAAATTTAGGATGCACTATATCAAGTGTGCCCAAACCTTTTCAAAATGAAAACATATCTGAGGGCTGTGGCCAAATGTAATACTATAAAAATACATATACAAATACTTCTTAAGTACAGTCCTTTTATTTTAATGATTATGTCCTGCTGGAGTGTGACATGATTTGTTTGTGTACTAAGTAATACGGTATCAGAGTTTTATATATTTATACTTCTCATTCAACCACAATTAAATTCACTCAATCTAGGAGGCACAGTTTATATGGATAGTATTTATTTTTTACAATAACAAGCTGGAAAGAAAACAAGCAGAAATAACAGTAATGACTTTCTACTTCTTGCCTTTTTTAAAAATGTAAGTAGAAGTAAAAAGTAAGCTGAAAAATAATTATTAAAGTAAAGTACAGATACCCAAAATTTCTACTTAAGTTCAGTAACAAAGTATTTGTACTTATTTACTTTACAATTCTGCAAAGGCTACGTTCACACTGTGACAAATGCAACCCGAATCCGATTTTTTCATGACAGTCTGAACGTGACTGATTTACTAAAGAGAATTAGGGCCACTGGAAAGAAAAAATAACAATAATTCTGACGTTTTTCTCAGAATTCTTTGATTAAATTCAGATTTTTTTTTCCAGTGGCCCTAATACTATTTTGTACAAATCCGATGTTTTTTTATCTTTTGTTTTTTCAAATCAGACCCAGTTCTTTTCGGTATGTGGTAATGAATGTGATACATATATGATGTTTTTCAAAGTGACTGCAGTCTGAACGCTCATGTCGCATTTCGTTTGACTTTTACATCCMAGCAAATCAATAAATATACCAACCTAAAGTCATGCAGTTTAAATTTTGTAGCTCCACACATCTTCAGCTATAGAACTGACGTCCAGTTGCTTCATTTTTGTTATTTTAATTTTCCATGTCCTGGATGATTGTTAATCTATCAAAACAAATGATAGTAACATCCAATATTGGTTGCTGACTGTATCAATACTAAAGTTACACTTTACTTTTAGCACGCCGGTTCATTTCAAAAATAAAATGCTGCACCYGAGCATCCGGTCAGAGGCAGGTTCAGATATAAACACTGAACCAAACAAGCATGTCAGATAATTATTTKATCAGTACAACTTCAGAATCAACATGCCAGCACGCAGCATCCAKGTTTAGCTAATTCTGTAAACGCTGAGCTGAATGTAACATCACGTCATCTTCTGCGCATGCAGATCGCATCCGTGCTGCGAAGAGTTCACTCTGGAGTCTGATGGAAGTCACATTTAAAATGTAATGTGAACGTTCACACCTAAAAATCTGAGTTGAGCATTAAGACCTGTGTCTTGGAAATCTTTATTTTACCTTGACAGAAACACGAGATCCGAGAACAAAAAGTACTCTGTGAAAGGTCAGTCAGGATTTATTGCAATATGCAAGACACACATCATGTCACACAGGGCAGTGGTACAAAATMTGTGCACCGAGGCAGTTTCAAATACATGCATTTATACAGAATATTATCAAGACAGACAATAAAACATCTCTCTTGGTGCRAAAATTGGGCCAAGGAGAGAATGATGTTCGATAAACAGCAACAAGAWTGATTACTTCTAACAGATATCGTTTTGATCTTAAAACACTCTTGTCAGAGAGAAAACAAAAGATAAAGAGTAAAATCATAAAACATGATGACATTTTAAAGCAAGTAAAAGAGGTTACTGGCTCTTGGCCTGAGAAGAAATGTAAGACTTTAAAGGATAATTTATTTTTCRAGGACAACCTGAAGTGAACATAAAGCCTAAGTATTATCCATTTTTATGTTTTCAAATACCAGGTAGCTGTGGCAGCCCTCTTGAACCTGAATATTTTTTGAGAGTTTCATTTAAATCAGTTCTCTGGCTTATGAGAAATTTTGCTAACAGACAGACAAACACTCAGGCAATAACATGGTTGCCTTCATTATAAAACAAATTGTGTGTCATAATTTAAATGTCAAATGTCAAACAGCTACAATTTCATTTAGAAAATGTTGATTAATTTAACTAAGARGAGTGCATCTTGTGCTTTCTTTCTGTTTAGATCTGAGGATGACTACTCGGAAGAAGAGGAGGAAGAGGACGAGGAAGAGGACGAGTATGATGGGGAGATCCCCCAGCCCGAGCTGGAGCCCCGGAGTCGCCGGTGCCTGGTCGGTGACGCTGGCATTTGCATCATCCCCGGGGGGGACGGCAGTGAGGAGGAGGAAGAGGAGGAGGAGGAGGAAGCGGAAGGAGGTCATGACATGCACGGAGAGGACAGCGACTCAGARGGTCCTGTGCTCCACAAAGATGAAGACTCAGACGAGGAGGACGAGCCCCCACCAAGTAAGTGTAATAGCTTTGATTTTCAAAACGCGATTTTAACGGATCTTTTAGTGCACATTGTGTGAAGCTGTGAAGCGTCCATCACAGCTGRCGTGTCTCTCTGGGCACCCCTCAGGTGCCCTGGCCAGCAGGGTGAAGAGGAAGGACACCCTGGCTCTGAAGCTCAGCAGCCGCCCCTGCGCCCCTGACCGGTTCACCCAGGAGCGGAGCGGCAGAGAGGATCAGCCTCCGGGGCAGACGGGCCTCACCTGGCAGAGCAGGGAGCAGTGGGAAGCCATTCGCACACAGATCGGCACTGCGCTCACACGGTAAAAAAACAAACAAAAAAAACAGTCGGCCATCTTCTTTCTCCTCTGTGCTGCTCGAACTGACTATATTTAAAATCTTGAAGAAATAGATAGTTTCTTAGATCATTGTCCTACTTATTGCCTGACTGACGGCGTGATGAAACAGTGTAAAAATAGTCGCACTATTTCTTTTTCTACTTCAGACGACTTAGCCAGAGACCCACTGCAGAGGAGCTCGAGCAACGAAACATCCTTCAGCGTCAGTATCACCTCTCTCTCCTTCCTAAAGCATTAAAAAAACACAGAGATGCTGCTCTTTTAACCTTCTTTGGCCTTATCTGTGTCCGGATTTTACCGATAGTTTAATTTATGAATCAGTTTGTCTTTCCAATCATTGTGTTGGCATTTAAAACAAAACTGCACCATCAAAGCTTATTTGATATCCTGAGTTTATTTGAGATTTCTAATTTTGGAAACTGCATGTCAAACTAAGCTTTCATGTCGAAGTCAAAAATCTTTTATTTTCCTTTCGTTTCCTTCTTCAGCCAAAAATCAGGCTGACAGGCAAGCTGAGGTTCGAGAAATCAAACGACGGCTGACCAGAAAGGTGAAGCATCACATCAACAACAAACCTTTGCCTGTCTGATTGTGTGTTTACTATAAAACAAAATAAATAAAATAGGTGGTGAGCACAGTTCTACTAATCAGTGAACTAGCTTCTCATTTAGCAGATTAGCTTTTGTGCTAACTTTGGATATTTTAGTGATTAGGTTCTGCTAAATTAGCCTCTGCTAATTTTAAGTCCTCTAAAATATTCACAAGTGTAATTTTTTTTTGCCGTTTATCCCGAGTTAAATAAAAACTGTCTTACAAACAGTGCTGGATGTGTCAGGCACCCTGTAGCATTTTTAGCAGCTAAGCTTCAAACTAAATAAAATAACATTTAACAATACCTAAATGACTAATACAAAAACGAATTACTATGTGATAGAGAAAGTATCTGCTATTTGTTGTTTAACTAACTTCAAACGGTATTTATAAAATGTGAAAATCAAAAMGCAATGCTTTTATTCTGAAGGAGTTAAACTGGAAGTATCACAAGTTGGACAGAGCTATAACTTTGGTTTGGATTGGCTGATTTGCCTCAGATGATCCCACCCACCTTCAGATTAAACCAATAGAAAAATAACAATAGGTTTGTTCAGTTTCACCTGTCCTCAGCTGGAAGGAGATATAAATGTGTGACACAGACTGAGTGACATTTATTTTTGCGGTTACCTATTTTTTTGTTACCTTACACTAATTTTTAATTTTTATTTTAAATCTGTTTAGTGGTTTAGCGTTAGTGGAGCTAAGATTCTTGTTTAGCGTATTAGTGGTTAGCGAACCTAACTTTTGGGTTAGCTGTGCCCACCCCTGATTAAAACTTCTCATTTGTCGTAGCTGAGTCAAAGACCCACGGTGGCTGAACTCCAGGCGAGAAAGATCCTGCGCTTCCACGAGTACGTGGAGGTCACAGAAGCTCAAGACTACGACAGGAGGGCCGACAAGCCGTGGACCAAGCTGACTCCAGCTGACAAGGTGATCACTTTAAACCAGAGATTCTTAACCCATGGGCCGCGGCCCAATTATGGTCCGCGAGCGCCACCTTGAGGGCCTCAAAAGATCAACAGTTTTTAACTTTAGGCCGCAGAGGGTCYTGGGATCGCATTGATTTTGAATAAGGTGCAATACACTTTCTCACCACTAGTAGCGGTAGTGCACCACTCAGTTGTTTAACAACTTTTTTTAATATTTAGAAAAAGAACCTTAGAAACCTGCCGAGAATGGAAACCTATTTTCAATGAAAAACAGAAGCAAATATGAAAGTAACTCGTCAAAAAACACCAAGGTTTTTCACTAATATGAAGCGCAGCTTCTGTTTTTACCATGCAATATTTTAAA